CATAAGTAGGGTTTTCTCTAGTATCTGTGACCTCTCCAGCTCTGTGTATTTGGCTGTGTTTAAAGTCCTACATGTGAGTTCCTTTCCATTGAGTGGACCTTAATTCCAGTGAATCTGTTGCTTTTACCACCAAGATAAAAAAGTATCTTCTGTACAAACAGTGATAGTTTACTGGGCCAACCATCATTTATTGGGCTTCACAACTGGTTAAGACAATTGATTGGTTTTTTTTTTTCCCCTTTGTAGCTTGTATAGTATCCTCTGATACCATGAGACTTGGTCTTCAGGGAGGTGGGTTCCAGGTCAGTTCCAGCTCCAGTGTTCCAAGTCCTGTGTCCATTTTCTTTTCTTTATTCAGTCCATCAAATGGTGTTGCTCACATTCTGGACAGTCCTTCTTGCCTCAGTTAAACCTCTATTGAAACACCCTCACAGATGCACCAGAAAGTGTGCCCCATTAAAACCCCAAGTATTTTTGACAATCAAATTGACCAACAAAATGAACCATCACATTCCTTAAGAAATTGTAGACTCCAAAATGAATTCTAATAGGTTATTACAAAGAGAAAAAATTAAATGCTACTATAATATTATTTTCACCAAATCACTAATACGGCAAGGATGTAAGAATTCTGAAAATAAATCCACATTTTCAAAGTTAAAAGAATTGCAAGTAAATAGTACCAATTACTCAGATTCCCATAGCTATAAGAAATAGCTGAAGTAATCAACTTATAAAAAAGGAAGGTTTACTCTGGCTCATGGTGCTGGAAGTCGTTTGGCTGCAGTGTGTCTGGGCTTGTGGTGGTAGAGCAGCACATGTAACGGAAGGAATTCTAAGTAGAAGAGGGAGGACTTGCATCCCATGGACCCCTTCAAAGACGTGTCTCCAAGCCTTGACTCCCTAACTGTATCTTAATCCCCAGTGATAAATCTTTTCTCGACATTTCCTTCCTCCAGCCTCGGGTAACAGCCATCCTTAACTTCCATGACATCAACTCTTAGATCCCACATGTGAGTGAGGTCATGTGACTCTTCTGTGTCTGGCTTGTTTCACTTAATAACCTCCAGTTTCATCCATGTTGCTGAAATGGCAGGAAGAAGAAGAACAACAAGAAAAACAAACAAACAGGAATTACTTAGAATGTTTGCACTGTAATGAAATAATAAATATTTGAGGCGCTATGCTTAGCCTGACTTGAAGGTTACACAATGTGTGTATGTATCAAAATGACAGTGAATCAATAAAAAGAAAAAAGAATTAAAAGTATACATGCGTTTCTATATACACTAGAGTATAAAGTAACATATACTTTGCATACATATTTTAGATTCCTTTTAATATATAACATACACACATTTATATTGTTAAGTTACAATGTATATCACATGCGGGTATACACTAAATGTATTACATATGTACATATATAGATAGTATATCATATATTACATGTATTAAATATATATTTATACACAACTATATGCAAAAGTATATATATATATATGCCACCATGCCCAGAGTATATGTTTCTTTTTAAAAAATATTTTATTTTTTTGTGTGTATGTGTGCATTGCTTATGTGTAGGTAAGTGCATCTGTGTCATGCAATGCCCGTGGAGGACAGAAGAGGCTGTCAGATCCCATGGAACTGGAGTTACAGACAGTTGTTAGCTGCCATGTAGGTGCTGGGATTTAAACTTGGGTCTTCTGAAGTTTAAGAGACATTAAAAAGCAGAGGGGTGAGTCTATTTGGTCCTTGATGTAGGATCTACCCCCCGCTCCTGCTTCCCGCTTCCCATGGTGACAGGGTGAAGATGTTAGAGCTGGGGGTGAATTCAGGGGCATTACAAAGCCACAGCTCTCATAACAGGCAGAAGACCACAGTGAGGCATAACATCCCTGCATAGACCTCAGGTAGATAGGCCACTGCCTAAGAAAGCGATCATGAATGTGGATTTCTGCCTCAGCCCTAGTTTCTTCAGTGTGGCCTTGACATTGAGTGACTGTTTTCACCATTGCTTTTGGTTCTATCCATAAAAGGGGAGAGGAGATGCCAACACTTTCATGAACTATTTCCCTACCTGACATGTCAGCATCAAGAATGATGGTGGTGCCAAGTGTGGTGGTGCTCTGCTTTAGTCCCAGCACTGTGGAGGCAGAGGCAGGCAGAGCACTGGGAAATTGAGGTCAGTCTAGTCTCCATAGTGAGTTCCAGACCAGCTGGAACTAATGGAAGACACTGTCTAAAAAAAAACCCAAAGAACAAGAACAAAGAAGAATAGTGGTGAGAACAAATACAGAACACGAGGACAAGTTCAGCTCATGATTGGAAAATGTTCACACGTGTCCTGTCGCTACTCCAATATCATCCTTGCTCATGCTCTTGTATGTGATTTATCCACTTGAAAGTGTTCCAATGACTTATGTTGTAGAGTAAATCTAAAACAAACCAAAAATGGAGGTCATGAGACTGTGGAAAAAAGAGTAACCATAACTAAAAAGAGAATAGTTATTAATACATACTGCAATAAAAGTTGTGTGAATATAATTTCTATTAAAATAATCAGGAAAAAATCACAAGCCTGATTTCCGGTCCCGTATTCATTACGAACCATCGTAGTGAGGCAAAACCCACTGTGGATATCACTTTACTTCTTTGTAAAAGAAGGATTTTTGGAAGAATTTTAGCTATTCAGATGATAGAGTATGAAGATTGTTAGAAATGTCTTTAATCATAAATATGAAATTTCTGAATTTCTTGGAGTACTGATTTATTGTCCCTGAATCTCAAAGAGTAATATGACAGACATTTGGAAACATGGAGAAGCTTACTTTTTTTTCCACTATTTTTTTTTAAATTCTAAAATATATCATTCTTGCCTAGTAGATATACTTTGTTTTTTTAAAGAAGGATTTTGCTTTTTCTGTGAAGATGATTGAGGGTTTTCTGTACAATAAGTACTGCGTTGCTTGCATAATAAGAAAATTTTGACAAGGCTGTGGGAAAATTGAAGAAAGATATGCAAAAGTAAGTAAAAATCAGATTTAAACAGCAAATTCAGTTTCATTTATTGAGTCTTGTAGCAACAGATTATTCATAATAAATTCAACCACAGTCTTTTTTTTTATGGTTAGTGCAAGAAAAAAATAACTGTGTTAGCTGGTCAAAGGACCCTTGGCTTTCTCTCCATTTCCTTGATAGCAAAGCAAAACAAACAAAAACCCTTGGAAACACACTTTTGTAAAATATGTGAATTAAAACTTTGAACTGCAGATGGTGCTGTGATTCCATTTGAAATGATTTTGTGTCCTGTTTAAATTCGTGGTGAAAAAGCAGTTCTTTGATTTAACCTATTTTCATCCATAGGTAAGAAAATGAAATTCTCTTTACTTTTCTGTTTTATTACAGTGGAAGAAACTGTCTTTACTATTGGAAAAATATATCCTAGTTACTCTCCATGAATGCTAAGAACGTCCTTTGCCAAGTGATGATGAACTTTCACGTGTTTTCCCAGTGTATCATCCAGTACTGATTCATCTGTGAAACCTAATCGACTTATTTTGCTGCTCCACATCTTAAATAAAATTGCTTCACTGAAAATTGAGTGACGAAGAGCTCAGGATAAAAAATTCCATATGAGAATGATTTTAACCTCTAGTTCATGATAATCAGTTAAAAAAAGATTTCCTGGAATTAAGCCACAGGAACTCTGGCTTAAGTCAGAGCTGTCAACTGGGAAACAAAATCCCAGACATTTTGAGACTTAATTCATTTAATTTTTCTTGTAACTGAATTAGAAAATATGATTAAGCATAGCAAGATATTGTTACTGTATCAGTCTGCCTTTGAGTGCAGCAAGTATATTCTAAAATCTTAAAGTAAGAAGAAATGGGATTTAGCATTGTATTACCCTGAGGAAAATACAAGCAAAAATGTAAGACATAAAGCACATACTAAGAATTTTTAAAAGAAAGGATATCACCTTACCTTGTTTTCCATGAAGCTGTTTGTTTAGCTGGATTTAGACCTCAAATTCAAACTGAATATATGTTGGGCTACTTTAAGTGTAAAACTGAACAAAGATAAGTTACTTATCACAGTGCTCTACACACATTCTTAACTAATTTTTTCAACCACCTTCCTGTAGAGTCAGGAAAGTCGAATAATGATGCAGAGTGTGTTTTGAGGAGCGGTACAGAAAACCAAATAACCCAATATTATGCAAAGACATAAAAATGATGAACACAACTTCTAAAGAGGAAGAAAAACAATGGATCTCTGGAGCATGCAGTCTGATCATTTGTTTTCGGACCGTTTGATAGAATGCAAGAGAAACTGCAGTGGGAATTACAATGTTCTGTACAAAATGTGGATTAGCAATACTGTGTTGCTGTATAGCACAGTGTGCGTGTTACACCATCTTACTTACTGGAACTTTTTTCCTAGGATTAGTTTCAGCATAAAGGAAATGTAATAAAAGAAATGTGGAAAGGTATTTGTGTTTGCTTTTCATTTGAATACATTTCAAGAAAGTCTAAATTAGAATCTACATAAATAGCATAAAGATAAAAAGGCATTAAGAAAACTGATGTTTTGTTATAAAGGAGAAGTTTACCTTGTAAGATTAACAAACACAAGAGGTTTTTTGCTTTCTGCACTTGTTTCTGCACAAAGTCCTTTTTTTCTAAAGGCCCTGGCTACACCACTACAATCATTCTCTTAATTCGTCACAACTAAGTAAAGATTAAAGCTTTTCACATTAAGCTTTATATTTTTTTATTTTAAAAGTGCATTTCTTCTTTCTATATTACATCTTGAAATTGTTTGCTATAAATGTATATAACTCAGGCATGATGGCAATTTAATAACTCCAAGACTTATTCATCTCATGGGATTACTACTATGACGTCTTTCAGGGAGCTTTGAGATTGCTCAGCCCCAAGCACAGCCCTATAAAACGAGGGACTTTGAAATGCTGCTCAGGTTGAGTGCAGAGCACTAGCTGGCAACAGCCAAACCTTCCCCAGGACCAGGGGCGGACTGGTGAGCCTTCCCTCCTGCAGGAGTTCAGCACCTGAGACAGCTCCCACAGTCCCCAAAGAGCAAGCCCTGAAGGAACATTGCTTGGCCAAGTGTAAGTAAAATACCTTTCTTCTTTTCCTTCTCTCCTTTGAGGTTTCATGCAGGATATCTTGAAGTGTTCTCTCTTGAAAAGAATTTTATAGTATTCCTCTTTTGCAATAGCAAAATAAAATAACAATAGCAGGCTCTCAAGTCACTCTATAAGGATGGAAAAGCCTCAGTTCCCATCATGAGGCTGCGTGTTCTGAACCTTTTTGCTTGGAAGATTCCTTGTCCTGCCTACTTATTCACTAAATACAGATTTTAAAAAGTCATATTTTCTTGCTTGTGTATAGAGTTTTGACAAAGGGTTCAGTGAGTGTATTTATTATTAAAGTTTTCAACTGACTTTTAAAAGTGCTCTTCTTGCTGTTTCATGTGTGATTAACTGAGCCTAGGAAGTATTCACTTTCCTCTTCTTTTAAAGTTTAAATGTTGTGACTTTTATGGGCATCACGAGAAAAAAAATCCCTGAGCATCTGAAGTGGTATCTAGAAAGTATTTAGAAACATAATGCATGAATGGACCAATTAAAAGAAACAGACTTTACATACATCACACACACATGTTATGCATACACACACACACACACACACACACACACACACTGCACATTGATTTTATGGAAAAACTTGTTTCGGTGCCAATATGTTGTTCAGTGACTTTGGGGGTATTGATTTTCATCCTTGAATTGCATTGTATAATTCTTGGCTTAAGGAAATAAGTTCGTAGTAATATCTATACTGAGTAGAGAAAAGTATATACAAGATCCTTTATCTTACTGATATGTATCTATACCTTATAGTCATATATGTACATACAAACATATAAATTTATGTATACAATTCCCTAGGAGAGAGGAATTATTAAATAGGGAAAAGCTCAGTTTTATAAAAGTCGGGCCCATTAAAGTTTAAAGGAAAAAAACATCAAGTTCTTGAAGTTGTTCCTTCTGCAGAAAAGATACTAAACTTGAATGTTATAACTCTGTCATAAAACAACGCTCCTGGAGTTTGTTGCTTCCAGAACAATAGAACTGTAACATTCAATAAATACTAAAGTCAATCTACTACCTGTTTAGAGGTGGGCAGCAGACACAACGTAATTTAGTTTGTTTGTATTCAAACACCTGAACCCAAGAGAAATCTTTATCTTAAAACAGTAATCTTATAGCAGTTTAACTCTTTCCTGAAGTTAAAATTACTTTTTCCAATTCCAAAGAGCCCTCAGAAACATTGCTAGACCCTCAAAATGACCTTGCTAGAGACACTTCCAAGTGTGCTTGGGAAAGCCAGCCTCAATCAATCTCTCTCTCTCTCTCTCTCTCTCTCTCTCTCTCTCTCTCTCTCGACAGAGATGGAAGGCAGAAGCAAGCCCCAGTTTCTGGCCATTCTGGCACTGTTCAGTGTGCTGTTATCACAGTCACTGGCCTGGCCTCTATTTGGATCACCTTCTGCTGTGAGGTAAGCTTCCTTCTAGGATAAGTGCATTTTCAATTCAAACGGGCAGACATTCCTTCTTCTAAATGAGAATTTCTTATGTACTATTTTGGATAGTGTTTTTTTTAAATGGTGTGTGTGTGTGATTTATTTAAATATTTTGATTATAGTGTTGAGCAAATTCATTTCCAATCCAAATCAACCGGTCAGTCTGAGTCCTGGAATTTACCTTCAGTACGTGAAAGTAACATCAGTGATCAGTTTTACAAACAAATGGCCACATTTCCAAACCAGTATTATAGGTAATAAATTCCTATACAGGCATCTCAGGTCAGTTCTAGTAGAAAAAGAGTTGTTTATTGACCAACTTCATTTCAATTTATATTTAATATAAAATGATGATAAGATTAGTAGTTTATTAATGAGCTATGTAGATATGAAATCATGTTGAACAGGAATATATCTTGGAAGAATCACTTTGCCAAAATTATAAAAATCATGAGGAAATTTATCTATTAAGATACAATCCCCCATAATACACTACATTTGAACTAAAAGTACTTAGTTTTACTGTTTGATACACTGAGCTTCATGTTTCAGAGTCACAAAGCATAGCACAAACTCATCTTAACCTAAATTAAAACAAATTTATGTGAAATAGTCAATTAATACTTGACCCTTTCTTTCTAGTTTACACAATCACCATAATCTAAAGGCAAAATATCATTTCTTTGATCATTTCTTTGTTTACTTGTCCCTTCTTATGATCCGTTAAGTGCATAATAGCTCAGCCTTTAATGTTCCCTTAGAACCTTTAAAGTCACCTCATATCATGCTTTGACAGCTAAAACAGCATTTGAGTCTCAATGACTTTATCTCAACAGATGAACAGTCACAAGAGTGTTGATGTTTGTACTGGATTCTCATCTTCAGGCCCACAAATGACCACATTTTATTCTCCACTACTTTATCACCCAGAGATATAAAGATGTCCTGGGACTGACACTCTTTGGAGGTTTACCTTAAAGTGAAGATTCACACAGAGACATATTTTTAATAGTGTGATAGTATTATAAATGTGTATGGATTCACTTGTAGGTAATAGTCTATATGTAGCAAAAATAATGTCCATCTTGTAATATAGAATAACATATTCATTGTTAAAATTGTCCTAGTTCATAAGGTTAGAAGCCAGAGGACTCATTAAGTTTGCTAAATTTGAATAACTACTCATAAATTGGGAGATTCATTGGTTTTGATCAATACAGAGATTTATCATGCTAATATAAATCTTTCTAGTAAAAATTAGGGACATAGAAAAACAGTTACTACTCTCTGCTCTTGGAAAGCATTTGAAATAATTGATACTAAATATCACAAAGTCCATGAATCAATGTCAGTCTAATATTGCTTCTTTAGAAGTTTTAACTTTGTATAAAATCTTTCTACTTGCTATATTTCACCTCACAAAGGGAATATTGTGACGTGTACCTGGGCAGTGTGTTTTGTTGAAAGGTTTTGTAGGATTGAATTAAGTAGAAATTATGTTTGATATAAAAAACTTATAAAAGTTGTATGGTATCTTTTTATGAGATAACACAAAATTACTATTTATATTCTAATTAAACACAAAAAACCATGGAGTCAAATTATCTTATTCTTAGATTGCAAATGAGAGATGCTTCCCGAGATTTTGATCTTCTGCTTCAAGTAGTTCCAAGACTAGCTGCACTGTCTTCAGATAGAGGCATGCATTACATTTTTTGGGTGTTTTACCTTAATAGGTTGGATGACAGAGTACAGTTTGAAGGAGCAAATGAGCCTGATCAAGTCTCATTCAAAGCAGACACGGACATCTTACCGAATGCGTTAGCTGAAAATGACACACCCTATTATGATGCATCCAGGTGAGTTCATTCTCATTGTTTTATTTAGGGATCATAGTTTAGAAGTATAAATATTCTAGTTTTATCTCACCACAACATGGTTTCTATGACTTTATTCATCCTAACATCAGATCTAGCATACATACATACATACATGCATACATACATACATACATACATACATGTGATTTTCATGGGAAGGGTTGTAACAAGCCAGTGTCAACACATTATTTATTTACATTCTGTTGAGCATTATTTCAATATGATTTCAGATTCTACTAACCCAGCTCAACCAAGCATTTAGGATTCCATGGTAGAACAAGTATAAAGAAAAGAGATCTCTCTTTATGCAGAGTGAACATATCTAAAAAAGCTGTTCATTCACAGAACTGCTTGTCTAGATAGCTTTTCAGTACAAACTGAACACTCCTCCCTGGCACCCCAAAGATAAAGTACATAAAGGCTCCTCATATGTTTACGAAGTTAGCTGATGCCCTTAAGGCCCTCTCTGCTTCAAGGGATTTTATTGCCAAGTATTTCAGTAGAAAAAAAATTAACAAAGAGAGAATATTTTTGAACTTGACAAAATTAACACATTTTCTTATTGCACGTATCTTTATTTAGGGCAGCAGGAAAACCTATATAAACATAGAGAAAAATTATCAATATTTCTTAGAAAACAATTCATTTAAAAATCTACCAGGGGATACCAATGAAATATTCTTCTAAAATGGTCCATTTTCCCCCACATCTTAGGCTAAAGATAGAGACTATATCTTGCTACAAGTGACTAGAAAATATCTTTGGCTATGGTGTTAGGACACTTCTTTTGCGAGTTAAGTTTTAGTGAACAGTTTTCATTAAGAGTTTATGCATTTCTTTACCATTTAATGAGCTAGAATTTATAGAGCAAGAAACTCTATGAAATGATTGTTGCCTTTCCTCCTTGTCTTAGAGCTGCCAGGCATGCTGATGGAGTGTTCACCAGTGACTACAGTAGACTTCTGGGCCAGATTTCTGCCAAAAAGTACCTTGAATCCCTCATTGGAAAACGAGTCAGGTAAAGAGGGTTTGCTGTTTTTAACAAATATATTCTCATTACTTGATCTCCAAATTCTATTTTTATTTCTGAAATATTATTTTCCTTGCTCGAGGCTGATAATGTTCCATTTATTTTGATAAAGTAATACATACTCATAGGTAAAGCATACCAGCCCACCTATGGTGAAATAAAGGCCTTCGAGTAACATATTTATTGATGCCAAATATATTTATTTTTCTCAAGCACCAACCATTTACACACTCACTGCAGACAAAGTGAGCTACACTCAGTAGAAATACATGGAACATAGGCACATTTCCTACTTCTTGGTAAAATCTTTAATTTCATTTTATTTTCTTATATCCTTTAGCAGTAACATCTCAGAAGACCCCGTGCCGATCAAACGACATTCGGATGCAGTCTTCACTGACAACTACACCCGCCTTAGAAAACAAATGGCTGTAAAGAAATACTTGAACTCAATTCTGAATGGAAAGAGGAGGTAAAGGAAAAAAAGAAAACTTGTTCAAGTGAAAAAGTATAAATGACTTTCGAATTTTAAGCTGTATTTGGAGAGCACTGTTTCTCTATCATACTCTCTAAACCATGTAAACGACTCGTTCTCAACCTTGACTGATGTCAGGCTTCCCTGGAGAAATTGTAAATACTGACATATGGCTGTTAGCCCTAAGCAATTAAAAACCCACATCTCTGGGGATGCAGACAGACACTGCTGTTGAGAACTCTGTTCTTTGAATGGCTACTATGAATCAGGGAGCAGGTTTAATCAAGTGTTCACTTTAAAAACTTGAAAAGTGCAATTAGCAATTTTGTAGTGCAGGAGACCCCTTCATATGCATTTTCAGCACCCTTACTTTGTCACATTTAATCATGATGCATTTTCATGTTCAGGCTCTTCTATAAAATCAGTTCTTTCTGTAGTGTGCAAATATTGAGCACAGCACAGAGATAGTAGTTTTCTTCATGTGCATGGTGAATATTAAGCATAATTCTGTTTGGGTGTAATCATACAAGAGTACTCTCTTTGCCCACTAAATGATAATTCTATAAGCCTGAATTTAGATGCTAAGATTGTGGAACAATTCATGGGCAATCACTAACTGCAGAGATCATTGTTTATCCCCAGTGCATCTTAGAGCACAGATAATAACCTAGTCATTATGTTATAATTGTTTCTTTGAAACCTTCCTCAGCTGAGAGTTTTAATGTGTGCATTCTCCTTCTGGTCTGTAGCAGTGAAGGAGATTCTCCTGACTTCCCCGAAGAGCTAGAAAAATGATGGAAAGGCTCCTCCGGGGAGAGCTGTGGACAAGTGGTGAGTGTGCCAGTGAATGTTTGCAGCTACTCCCTAAGTACAGAGACAGGAAAGATCCAATGGGTAAGAAGCACCTTAGAGTTTCCATCAGGAGACTAGAATTATCTAAGGTTCAGAAGGCATCTCCAACTGAGGCAGACCCCACCCCAGTAAACACCTTTAAATGACTTAGCTGTCTTCTGATCATGACGAAGAGTCTGCTCAGCATGAGCAGTTTAGCTTCTGAGAAGCGCTCCTTGTTCAACCTCACGCCCATATTGTTCTGAAGTAAAAAGACACAGGAGCCTAGCTCACATTCATGAGGGGAAAAAATGGCTTTAGTTTGAGACTCCAACCAGGCTGATTGTATTAATTTGAGATTTAGTCCCAAGAATGCCTGTGAGGTATTCATTTAAATGTGGAGAAATTGCACCAAAGCATAGCATGGTTCACTGCTGTGACAACATCAAGGCATTCTGGGTTGAATTTTATTTCTTGAAATATAACAAATTTCATGGAGCTAAAGTCAAGTTTTGACCTATAAAATAAGTAGAGGTCTTATAGCCCTAGCATCATTCACTGTAAAATATTTTTTGAGTAGAGAAAATACACATACATATATGCTTACATACATGTAAAAGGATAGTCTGTTCCTTAAAATCTCTTTTATACAAATATGCTTATAAGACACATTCATTCATGAACTATGAAGCATTGATAATTTCATCATTTCACATGAATCTATTTACAGTACTTGGTAAGGGATTTCATAATTGTGCTATCACCATGTAAAAGGTTGGCACACTTTTCTCTAAAGGGTTATGGAGAGATGTTTGCAGTTTTGTGGGTATCTAGTTTCTATTATAACCACTTATCTTGCTACTGTAGACCAAAAGCAGCCAAAAAAAGATATAAAATGAATTCAAGTGTTTGACTCTAATAGAGCTTTATTTGTAATCCCTGTAGGTGGGTAGGATCCCAACCTCTAGCTAAGAAAAGAATATTAGGCTAGCCTTATGTTTGGGCTAAAGGCAATTTAGTCTCACCTCAGTTTCTGGTATGGCTATCTAATGTTTTCAAGAGTTATCAGGAATGAACAAGTTTCCAGAAATTCATCTGCCTGATTTGTTACTTTCATCATTAACTTAATTATACATTCAGATCTAAGAGAAGTATGGGGTCAGGAGCTGCCCCCAATAAAGCACTCCCATGTGTACACACTTCCCCGAACCCAGGCCTTGGCTCAAAAATAAAAGACAGGGTGAGTCTGTCACTTGACCATGGAGCATTTGCCTGGCCTACCCAAAGGCTTTGGGTCCCACTCCCAACACCAAAATAAATTAAATAAATAAATAAATAAATAAATAAAACAAATAAGTAATTTGTAACAGGAAAATTTCTCTGTCAAATTAAGAAATATGTCAGATACTAAAATATAAAGGCAGATTACGCAGCCTCTTATCTTTATAAATTGTAAGATCATTTATGAGATCCCATCTTTGTTATTTGTATAAGAGTTGTTTTGGACAAGTTCTTTGAACAAGAAATCCTGTAGGTAATTCCCTTGTGAAAGTGAAAAAGCTTAATTCTTAATGACTAGGTATAGGGTTCCTTTACATTACCATTCCTTTGTGACAGTCTACTGAGAGGTTCTCTCTTGATCCTGCCAGACACTATCCCTTGCCAGAGGCTATTGATGGAGAGACAAAGAGAAATTGATGTTAACCAAATGAGTGGATACATGAGCAAAACTAATATATTGTAAATTTTAAAAGCATTTTATGTTTAAGGTACCAACTCTTTCTTTTTCAGAATTCTTGAAGGAAAACAACCAAGTAATTACATTTTGAGTTCTACATACCTAATTCAAGAAAACAACTTCAATAGCAAAACCAAATAAAATGTGTTGTGAATGATGTGATTTATTTTATTCTGATGTAATTACTGTGATGTTTACATTGTAAATATTATTTGAGAGTTTTAAAATCTGTCTTTAGCTCATAAAAGGCTTGTAATTTCATGTGCTATATATTCTTTCTAACAAAAATATATTTAATGATAAGTAGATGCTAGATTAATTCCAATTATCTGAGGCTTTTCTGTAAGGGGAGCAATAGAGGGAAATTGTTGTGTTTATTTATAGTATTCAGATGATCAGAACAGCTAATTAGTGTAATGAAATGTGAATGTTAAGCAGATAGGCTGCTGTGTTAAATAACAAAATTTCTAAGAGAATACCAACAACAAAGATCAAAAAGATACTTGTGAAATAGTTTTCAGGAAATCATATGTCCACGTTGAAAGGGGACTTTACCTCTAATGTATTGATCTCTGAGATTAGACTCTGTAATCCTCAAAAGCTTCCTTCAGATCTGGGTTTCAGTTAAGGGGATGAGTCTGGCTTCTGATTTGGGGAGTCCCTTTCTGTCTGTGTTATGGATGTGTAAGATATCAGCTGAATAGAGCACTTGATTTTCAGTGATCAATATTTTTTTCCATAATCACTCAGAATAGCATATGATCTTGTCAGTTTCCTTTAGTGAAAGTACATTTGGAGACAACTATTTTTCCAATGTGATTGTATGAAATTAATTATAGAAAATAAAGATCTTTGGTTATCATTGCAGATGCTTTTGGGTGTCCTGATTCTTTGAATGACTCAGCAACAGCTCCTTTTAGCTATAGTTACATGCATTAGTGTGGCGTCATTACACCAACATTACAATTACCTGAACAAAAAGCTTAACTCTTAAATTTAGTTTTTAAGACTGGGCTGAAACTTGGAGCACACTCGTTCTCCCGGATAGCCCTTGGAACCACCCCTCTCCTGGAACTGTGCTCCTGAGTCAGGCTTCCTTCCATTTTTATTCAAACAAGTTTCTCCAGCTTTATGGGGGAGTACAATTTTGGATCCACCTTAATTTAACAGACCATCCAGCCTTTTCATCCTCAGGTCTAGAATAGCTCATTCATCCACTGCCAAGTGTCCTTCCCAGTCTTCACTGTGTTTGATGAATTAAGGGGGCACTGTCTTTCAGTTCTTTGATATGTTAATTCTCAAGCATACCAACATTCATTCATTATCTTTTTGGATGGAGTACCAAATTGGGGCTCTCAGTAAACACCCCTTGACAAGACACAAGGTTCATTGATTTTTCCAAGGTTAATTAAAAGTCATTAGCTCAGGTTCTGTCCATTTTATAGAAGTCATTCCTATACATTAGGCAGTTCTATGATGCTTGAAGTGAGACTGCATTCAACTGTGTGTCCCAAATGAACAAGGAGAGAGAGAGAGAGAGAGAGAGAGAGAGAGAGAGAGAGAGAGAATGTCAAGGGTTAGTGTGATGGTGCAATTCCATGAAGCTCTTTCTGGGTAATCTCAACCCTTCCCATGTTGCCCCTTATTTCCTGGAGTGTAACCCTTTGCTTTATGATCCAGATTCAAAGTTAGGGTTCCAGCCTCTATATTTACGTCTACATATCAAGCAACAGAACAGGGAGGCTTTGTGGCTACTTTCTAGGCATGCTGGTTCTCTCGAGCTGACGTACCATCAACAAGGACATAGTCTTGTGGCCACAGGCATTTGCAGGAAAGGCTGAAACATGCAGCTTATTTTTTTCCTTAGGGGAGGCAGGCATCCAGGTTTAAAGCTGGCCTCTGTTAATATAAAACAATGGTGGAATAGTTGGATAATGATATTTGTTTTAAGCTCTTATTTTGTCACCCCAAAGTCTTAAAGAATAGCAAAGAAAGTGAGAGACTCTACCCATCAGTTAAAGCTGCCATACAAACAGGAACAACTCTCCACTCATTTTGATTTATTATACTTACAGCAAGTGTCCAGGGAGGGTGGGTCTAATCCAGAATTACCAGTGATTATAGAATACTTTACACAAGTAAAATGAATTGGACTTTTGCACACGATCTCACAAACTGTTAAACATTTACTAAGAGACATTTCTAAAGGAAGCCCTGAATGAAAACAGAAAACTTCCAGATGTAACTTGGATATAAGGAGCATATAAAAATCTATGGGAACTTAATTTGAATGTGAATTTAAAGACTTTTAATTATATTCCTATTTTATTCCCTATTTGTTCAAGACACATTTCTTAAGTAGCTATGATGTGCCATATACACAGTTGAAAAGAGTTCTAAGGAGAAGGAACAGTAAGCGGGATGGAGGAGCAGCTCTGGTGGCCTAGCACAGCAAGGAAGGCTTTGTGGCCAGAGCAGTGAGAGATGGAAACCAGAAGAGGGCTTTGGATTCCCTGGAACTGGAGTTATGGACCTTCGTTAGCCATCATGTGGGTGCTGGCTGCTGAACCCAGGTTTTCAGCAAGAACAGCCAGTGCTCTTAACCACTGAGCCATCTCTCCAGTCCCATGTGCTAGCATTTTAGATCACAGAGATTAAATTTGTCACGCTGTTGTGTTAGAATAACAACCTCTGAAAATGTCCACACCTTATTCCCTCGAACTTGTGATTATTTCACTTTTACATGGCCCACACTCTGATGACTCTCAAAGTCTTAAGTAGGGCGGTTAACCTGGATTATTTAGGTGCCCTAGCATAATCGCCAGGACCCATGAGAGTGGGAAGAGGAAAGCAGTAGTTGGAGAAGGGACTGGGACAATACAACAGAGACTGGCGTAGCACCACAGCTTGGAGAGTCCTGAAACGCACGTTATAAAGATGCCTCAGAAACCAAAGAATGCAAGAAAGTGTTTGCCCAAGAGCCTCTGACAGACGAGAAAGTAGGGAATACGCTGGAATCTATAGGCACAGGAAAGAACTTTTTGAACAGGACTCTGAAGTTCAGGCATTATGAGCAATTGACAAATGGGGCTTTATGAAACTAAAAAGCTTCTTTACAACAAAGGACATCATTGTTCACGTGAGGAGGTAGCCTACAGAATGGAAAAAATATCTTTCCCAGCAATACATCGGGCAGAGACTTAATATCTATAATAGACAAAGACCTCAAAAAACTGAACATTAAAAAAAAAAAACTAACCAACACAATTAAAAAATATGGCATGGAGAAACACTTTAAAAATATTCAACACCCTTAGCCACCAGGCAAATGCAAATTAAAATTTCTTTGAGGTTTCATCTAACTCCAGTCAAAATAAGATAAAAATAATTGGGGGCTGGAGAGCTGACTCATAGTTAAGAGCACTGGCTGTTCTTGCAGAGGAACTGGGTTTCATGCCCATTGGTGACTAACAACTATCTGTAACTCCAGTTCTAGGGGATCTGATGCCCTCTTCTGACCTCCGTGGGCACTGCACAATACAGGTGCATTTCCATACATGCAGGCATTACACTCATACACATAACATAAAAATATTAAATAAAAAATTTTAAAAATAACAACAAATAGTGGTGTGCATGTGGAGAAAGAAGAATAGTTATTCACTGGTGGTAGGAGGGCAAATTTGTGCAGCCACTATGGAAATTAGTGTGTAGAGTCCTCAGAAGCTCCAATAATACCATTCTTGGGCATGTACCTAGAGTACTCTATATCCTACTACAGAGAAACCTGCTCATCCATGTTCATTGCTGCTCTAGTCACAATAACCCCATAAAGGAAAAGACTGAGAAGATCATCAGTTGATGAATGGATAAGAAAAATGTGGCAAAATTATGTGCACAATAGAATATTATTCTGCTCTTAAGAAAAATGAAATTATGGAATTCACAGGTGAATGGCTGGAACTGGTAACACTTGTCCTGAATAAGGTATCCCAGACCCAGAAAGACAAACATTGCATGTTTTCTTTAATCAGTAGACACTAACTTTGAAATTTAGACATGTGTGTTTCATTTCGAATGCCCCTAAAAGTTAGGAAACTAGTAGGGAGTAATGGGCAAGGGGAGTTCTTTCAAGGCAAAGGAAATATAATACAGTGGTATAAAAGGGGAAAGAAGAACAACAGTACAGGAAGGATTAAATGGGTAGTGAAAGGTGAGCAGGGTGGAGGAGGGAATAAGGGGAGAGATCACTAACACTAAAGGCCTTTTGAGAAACCATATGGAAACTTATTATTGTAGAAGCTTTTTCAAACACATGCATGTGTGAGAGTGCCTGTTCCTGCCTCCCTCTGGCATTGGGGCTGAGAATTCAGGGGACTTCCTGAGAGCGCCTGGATCCTGTCTCCATGCAGTCATTACCTTCCCCTAATTGCGCTGTACCCAACCCCCTAACTGGGATTGTTTGAGGCCCCTTCCGAAGCCCTGGGCAGACCTGGATTTGGTAGGATAAGGCTGATATCTTAGCAGACAGCCTGAGAGGGTGGGTTCCGACCTCCATCTATGTGTAGCAGCTGGGATCTCAGCAGACCGCCAGAGAGTGCGGATTCCCTCTGGCATATGGGCTGAGAACCCAGCTGACTGCCTGATTTGGAGAGTCCCCAAATCATCCCCCCTTTAGGGATCTTCCTAAATTTTGCTCTGGGTTCCCACTAGTAGGGGTCCAAACCTTAGAAGGAAGCCTGGGTGTACCTGACTGGAACCTGACTTGGGCTTCTGTGGGTGTTTCTGAGTAGCTGATCTGAAGCCATCAATTCCCTCCAAAATAAAACCTTAGAGAACCTGAAACCTAGACCAACCATCTTCATATAACCAATAAGAAAAGGTCCAAGGCACATCAATAATAAAACAGAAGCAAACTTCAACTTAATTCTCGTATCAGAATCACAAACAACAAAAGAAATCCACATGACAAAATCACGAAAAAAGAATAATAAAATGGAAAGCCAAAACACTATGTCCCCACAAAACTCCACCAATCCTGTAGGAGAGTTCTACAAGGAGAACCCCCTAGAGATAACCCAGGACACTGAATTTAAAAGAACAATCATAAACATGATCAAGGAATTCAACAAATTTAAAGAACACACAAACAAATCAAAGAACTAAAAGAAGATAGGGATAAACTTCTGAATGAATTCACAAGAGATAGAAACATTGAAGAAAACTCGGGCAGAAATGAAGACTGAAGTGCAAAACTCAATAAGCCAACTTGAAACAACAGGGGAGAGACTCACCACTAGAATGAATGAAATGGAAAACAGAATATCAACACTTGAGGATAAAGACGAAGAATTGGACCACTCAAGCAAAGATTATGGAAAAAAATAAAAAAAAACATGTGACTGGAATAGGGAAGAGATTTGGGACACCATGAAAAGACCACATCTACAGATCATAGGGCTAGAGGAAGGAGAGGAATTTCAGGATAATGGTATTGACCAGATCTTAAACAGGATTGTAGAAGAGCATTTCCTGAAATTAAGGAAAGATTCTCATACAAATACAGGAAGCACATAGAACACTGAATAGACAGGATCAGAAAAGAAACACCACATGACATATCATGGTAAAAACACTAAATGTACAGAACAAAGAGAGAATACTGAAAGCAGCAAAAGAAAAACAATAAGCCACATACAAAGGAAAGCCCATCAGAATTACAGCTGACTTATCAGTGCAAACTGTGAAAGCCAGAAGAGCCTGGATCAAGGTATTTCCAGTTCTAAATGACAAGAGATGCCAGCCCAGAATACTCTACCCGACAAAAACTATTATAATTGAGGGGGAAAGATAAACC